TGAGAATCACTGCTCTAAAGGCACAAGTTGTTCAGTACTTACTTACAAAATACACTGGAAAAGGACAAAGATTTCATTACAGTCAGATTTAACTTTGTTCAGTGGGAAGACTGCTTTTCTTCTACAAATTCTGGGGTGACAGCTAGCTGCCAACTGACTGCAGAGCTATGCACTGACAGGTATTTTCTGTAGAAACACACATTATCATCACTACCCCCTTTTAAATACAATTTAAACTAGTGCTGTAGGACAGAAAACACAGTTTAAAACTACTCAGTGAGGAAGCCACAGTTATCACAAACTTGGTGGGACGGTAGAGCTTTAACCCAACTAGTGTTTAGGTAATAAAAGGTGCAAATACACATGTAAGAAAGAAGAGATTTCTTTTTTAGCCATTTTAAACTCTCATTTTGCTGAAACAGCATCCATATTCATTCCTTTCAACAAGCTCTGCAGACAGTTCAGGATGACAGCGGCTCCAGCACTCTGATACTGTCAACCTCACGTTTCCATAATACTGCAGTAACTACCTATAGGAGAAGTCTATGCAAGTGTGTTACCCTCTCTCTTCATTTTCTTCCTTTTTTTCAGATTCTTGCTCTGTAAATGAATCAGAGACGAGCTTAAGTGCACGTTCAGAATGGGAGACTACTTTCTGGATGGCCTGCAGCTCTTCTTCTGTTGGGTAGATACTAGAGTGCTTTGTCATGATGTGACGGTCATTTGAAGAATCTGGACATCTAGTAGACTGAGAGAAATAAAATGACAAACTTTATTACCAGAGAGACCTGGGTTAAACTGGAAAAAGACTGAAAAAATTCTTAGCAGTGCCCTCACTATCAGACATTGCACATCGTTACAGAACTATATTTAGAGATGCAAAAATGTATACAAAAGAAAAGGAAGCATTTGCCTTTTTGATTATTCAAGCAAGAATAGGGACTCATAAGGTATGACTAGTTTCTGCGTTAAGAAAACAATAAGGACATTTTAGCTGCTGTAGGAAGCAAGATTCAGCAAATGGCATCCTTCCCTTCAAGTTTGCATTCACTAATGTTTCATCACAGAATTAGAGGGTTTTGGACTCTACAAGGGGAAGATTTATGAATGAGACTTAAACAAAACACCTATCCATTTGTGATCCTTAAAAAACAATAGTATTTTGTGCCCTATGGACACAAATTCAACTAAAGTTCTTACATACTGCCTCCTTCTTGCACCCCCTGTAATTTTGACTGGAGAATGTAGTTTTTATCTTACTTTCCCAAGTACTGCATAGGAAGCTGTCAACTTCCAAAGTAATGGTAGGTGTCAGGGGTGACTGGTGCCTCCTGAGTCTGGGGGGCACAATTTGTGGGCGGACTCAGGGGTGGGCCAAAAGTCCCATATCCACACCTATACTTCTGTGCCACAGCTTAGTGCCCCTCTTCCCTGCCCCCATGCCACCAGCCCTCACGGCAAAAAAACTGCCCTGTCCTAACCGGTGCCGAGTCGGGCACCAATCTCAGGGCGGACTTGTGCGCCCCCCACCTGTGGTAGGTGTGTTTCAATATGGAAGAAAGCAATTCAAACAACAGGTACATCAGTATATTTACAAATGTGCCTTGGGGAGTCTTTTGGAACTTAGCCAATGTCCACAGACTAGTGTGAGAAGAGACAGTGAGAGCATTAAATAATACTCTCAGTGTCAAGTGATTAAGATAAATAAGTCTATACAAGATGCTTTACTGCGCATTAGACTAATCTAATGCACAGTAAAGCATCATTGTCTACATGTGCGTGGGACTTGCTGCTTATTAAATTAGTCTAATGCATCATTTGCTAGTACCAGGTACTAGATAAATAGCATATTAGCTAATGCACCATAGTGCACATGCAGACACTGACCAGGAGCAATTTGCTCCTGGTCAGCCCAGGCAGCAGGGGGTCTAGTGCTACCTGGCTAACCCTCAGTGTGGGGGAGCTGTGCCAGCTGCAGGTGCAGCTGTCTCTCCATGTGGCTGGAAAGACAGCTACCCCTGCCTGGCAAAGAGTGGAACCAGCCCCGGTGCCCCCTGACAGCTGCTGGGGCTGGCACCCGGGGGAGCCTGGAGCACATTAATAAGCCTGAATTTTCTGCACAGAAAATTCAGGAGCATTAATTGCACATGTAGATGCACCCACTGGGAAGTACACTGATATAAAAAGGGCCTTAAAAAGTGAAGTAATAGCACTGTTAAACAGGAGTAGTCACTGAGATTAAATCTTAGATTAAGATTTAATCACTGAGATTAAAGAAGTCCAGACATTTACTGTTTATGAATACAGCAAGAACCTTATTTATTAAAGCATTTGCCTCTTAGAATAAAACCAATTCAAGCTGTTGGCTACTCCTGGGAATTTCTCTTCCCTCTTCATCTTCACAGCTCTACTCTCAGCTCTTTACATTCAATGTGCTTGCTTGCTTCTCTCCTCAGACCTGATGAAGAATGTCTTGCAACTTTATTCCAAGCATGCAGTTGGTCCAAGAAAACTTACTGCCCCTGAAATATCTTGGCCTCTCACATGACACCTTTCAGACATTTTTCCAAGTGACTGGGAACTATCATAAGAAAATGCAGCTCATTACACTAGAGTTTTTTATGTAATCAAAGCATAATTTCAGTAACCTGCATGTAAATTGGATGTCTTCAGGCAAATAATGTGTGTATTAGTATGTAATGAGATGTGTGTATACAGCTAATATCACAAAGTATTTAGCAAGGGCTGCAATTTTTCTAACATAAGTTTGAATTTTCTTATGTGCATATGGTATTTCTTGCATTGTAATATTTCTCATTCAGTGTCCAGATAGTATTAGAAGTGCTGAACTTCCATACAGTCACAGGATCATAGAAAAGTCAGGCTGGGAGGGACATCTGGAGGGCATCTAGTCTTAACCCCCTGCCTATCCAAACCATCCCACACAAATCCTTGTCTAAACCAGGGCTTTTCAACTGGGAGTACTTCTGATGGCATCGGGGGTACTCCACCAGCACTTCGGTCACTGATTGGCCGTGGGGGACCCCCCTTCCTGGTTGCCGATTGCCCTTCCCCACTCGTCGACTGGCTGCTGGGGGACCACCCCTCCCCAGATGCCAATCGGCTGCTCGTCTGGCCACCGAGGGACTCCTGACTTCTTGACCAGCCACCGGAGGTACAATGACTCAAAAAGGTTGAAAACCCCTGGTCTAACCTATTACTAAAACTACACAATCAACCCTGTTGCACAGCCATAAGGCGCAGCAACCTAACCTGCCCACAGGTATAGCTGGGGAACAACGGTGGTCAGTGTCTGGTTGCTGCAAGTATTGTTAAAATACACTTAAGAGATCTGAGGAAGAGAGCCACACCGTGTCGCTGCGTAGGGGGTGCATGTGCAGCCCCTGCCAGGCTGCGCTCCCTGTTTAGGCGATGGGCAAGGGGGCAGCGACGGTTCCCCCCCTTGTAAGTGCCAGCTGGGCAGCAGGGCCTCCAGCAAAAGCTTTTTGGTGAGTAAGATCGGCCACAGTCCAGCTCCCCACCCTCCCCCCCAGTCAGTGCAATTGGCTGCCAGGGGACCCACCCCACATCGGTGACTGGTGTCGGGGGGGGGACACATGCCCCCTGGCCTCAAGAGGCACCAGTCGCCCATGGGGCCACACACTCCACTAGAGGGGAAGGCAAAACTCCCACAGTCCATCCCAATCTGATCATGGGGCAAAATTCATTCCTGGTTCCAAATATGGCAACTGGTCAGACCCTGAGCAGAGGGGCAAGACGCTTTAGCCAGAAACTTCTGGGTTTAAGGCCCAGCAGGAACACTGGCACACCAGTCAAAATCTCCAGCCTTAGATGCAGCCAACACCCAATGCTTCTGAGCAAGGTAGAAAAAAAATCCCTGATCCTTGCAGCAACAAGAGAAAAAAAAATCTTTCCTGGCCCCATATGGGCAAAGGAATACCAAACACCCTCCACTCTGCTCTGGAGCCTGGGGACATCAAATGTACAGCCACGTATCACACCCACTGCTGGACAGTCAAAACTCCCTATTTGGTACCCCCTCCATAAATCTAACCCAGCTCCTTTAATCTTCTTTCATAACTAAGCCAGTTGTGGAGCTCTGTCTCATTCTCCTGCTGCTGAGTACAGTCCTTTCTAGTATCTGCCTGCTTTAGGCTGCAGAGCTTTTCTCATTATCTCTCAGCAATCTGTGTGTGTGGGGAGGGGGGTGGGGAGGTGCTCCTGGGTTTCCAACTGTTGTTTTTTATATAGCACTCCAGGCATAGCCACTCTTAGATCATCCCCAACCAGTGCTTATTCAACCCTTTTCTGGAAACCTCCAATTATGGAGAGCCTACAACTGCCTAAGTAGTCTATTCCACTGCCTCGGTTTTATCACAGTGAAGGAATTTGTCCTGATACCAAATCTAAACCTACTTTTTTGCAACTCCAAGCCACTGGTCCACATCCTGTACTCTGCAGCAAATGAAGAAAGGTGTTTTCCTTCTTCTTTATAGCAGCCCTTCAGATATTAGAATATTACTATTATGCCCCATCTTAAACAAGCTGAACATGCCTATTTCTTTCCATCTCTACCCATATACCTTGCCTTCCAAGCCCTTCATCATTTTTGTTGCCCGCCTCTGGACCTCTCAAACTTTTCCATTTCCTTTGTAAAGCGTGGAGCCTAAAACTGCATACAATAATCAAAATGAGGCCTAACTGGTGCTGAGAAAAGAAGCACGATCACTTCTCATGTCTTGCATCTAATGACCCTGTCCTCCTGTGTGTTTGCAGACCTTCCCAGCTTCATCTTGTCTGCAAATTTGCTCAGGAAACCTGCATCTAAATTGTTAATAAACAAGTTAAAGAGCACCACGTCCAGGACAGACTCCTGGAAGACTGCGCGCATCTACACAAGATACTTAATGCGCAGAAGACTAATTTTACTGTGCATTAGCGTGGCTAGCAAAAACTGTGCTAATGTGCTAATAATGTGCAGTAGACTTAGTCTGAACATTAACCTCACTTAAAAAGTGTTCATTTCCACTAATGCGCCGATTATGACACATTAAGTTAGTCCCTGTTATTACAGTACTAAACTTAATGCACTGTAATTACGCTGCATTAATGAACATGTAGACACACCCCCTGATATCAGCATGAAGGCACTGAATTCTTTGACAATGAGCAGATGTTCTGGGGAGGAGGACTGCTATCAAGAGACAGGATCCATTAAACCAGAACTGGAAAGAGCATCTTTGGGCACCATCAGTCCAACTCAGTAAGAAAGGCTTTAAACGAGGTTCTGTGAGGGATGATAGACAAAATCCTTCAGCCACAGAGCAAACAATCCAGAGGGGAGAGCACCAGAAGAAGCTCAACTCAGAGACGGGGACAGTGAGCCACAGAACAGCAACAAGGGAGTCAAGAGGAAAACAAGTAGGTCAAAAATGCAAAATACTTCCGATACACGTATAAAGATGTGATGAGCTTGGGGAACAAACAAGCTGCAAGTCACAGCCTGTGAAAAGAACTCTTATCTGACTGTTATCACAGACACTTAGTGGGTCAGCTTTTATGACGGGAACATCAACACTGAAGGGTACGCTCTGTTTTGGAAGGAGAGGGCTGGGAGAAAAGGAGTTGACATATAACAAAATGCCACCAATACATACACTTATTCACTGGTTCAGGACATGTCTACACATGCATTTAAGTGCAACTAAATTTACTGTTTAAGTCCCTGCAGCCCTGCCATGTGCCCCTGTGGCCACCGGGGAGAGCTTCAGTCTCTGGCCACATGGCTGCCAGCACTTGGCAGCCATCTTGAAGCCAGACCCAGCTGCCAGCACTTGGCAGCCATCTTGGAAACTCTCAGCCCTGGCCAACCCCTTCCCTGCCCAGGAGCCATGTGTCCAGTGCAGGGAGAGCACATGGCAGTTCCCTTCTTGCCCACCCTGCTTCCCTGCACCAAGGCTGCCTGCCCCTACTAGTGACACCCAGTGACCCGCTGCTCCAGCCGTGTCCCTGCCAGTGATGGCTAGCAACCCACACTCCCATCTTCCAGCAGTTGCTGGCCCCTGCCAATGGGCCTGCAGGACCCCCCAGGCCCCAGGACAACCACGCACCCACCAGCTGACCCCCTCTTCCTGCATGCCTTGACTCAACCCACCTGCTCCGCCACCCACAACCCCCCTACCCCCTGCCCAACCCCCAGCACCACTTTCAGGATATGCACATGGGTGAAACAAAAAACTTTATGACCCTCACAACACCCATCACCATCCCTCCCTTCCACAACCAACAGAACCCTCTCTTCCCCCAATCAGCAGGGGCCCTCCACCACCCTCCCCACCCACCAACAATTAAAAACCTGCTTACAGATGGAAAACTATATACAAATGGAAAATATTTATATATGGAAAACTATTTACAATATTTTGGGTCTTTGAGCCCAGAGTGGGGGGCTGTTGGTGGGGGGGGCCTAGAGGGCAGAGCCCCGAGGCAGGTGCCCAGGCCCCCAGCCTTGGGATATCCCCCTGCAGGTCTGGGGGTTGTGGCGACCCCAGCAGATGGTGGCCTCATGCACAGCTGGGTGTTCTGGCATGTGGTGCGGGGGAGAGTGCCGGAGCCACGCAGGTGGTGGCAGGTCTGGGGCAGGCGCCGGGCCAGAGGGCCTGGTGGCCAGGAGGCAACTGAGGACCTCCTCCCAGGGTCAGGTGGGGACCTACTGTGGGGCAGTGGGTGGGACCCAGGGGTCCTGCAGGGCCATGGGCAGGGTCCGGGCAGTGAGGATCATGGACGTGGTCACCTGGGCCAGGAGGGTGTCCCTGCGGCTGGAGCAGCTCTAGGCGTTCCTGCTCCAGGGTCTCCATTTGGGCCCAGTGGTCCTGCTGGTTTTGGTCCTGTGCTTCCTCCCAGGCAACATCCTCCGCCCGCCAGGCCTCTTCCTGTGTCTCCTGCTCCTCTGTCACCACCACCAGCTGCTAGAGCAGGAGGGTCCACTCCCTGGTGTGCTGCTGGCAGCCAGTGCATCTGGACAGCTCTGCTGGTGGGTGGCAGTGACCCGGAGCCTGTATCCCTTCTGGGGCTGGTGGCCTCTCCCCCGCATCCAGACGCTGGCCCTGGACTGCGCTCAGGAGTGCTCAGCAGAGGGGCATGGCCATGGACTGGGAGCTGTGCAGCAGAGGCACTTCACCACAGCACCTGCAAAGAGGTGCTGCTGGGGGTGAGCAGCAGCAGGTGCTGGCCCGGTTGCCAGAGACAGACAGGCAGCAGCCCTGGGGGGGATCTCAGGGCTGGGCAAGGGGTGCAGCAAGCTGCAGTCCTTTGCAACACTCACCCATGGCCAAGCAGCAGCTCTACAGAAGGAACAAGCCAGGCAGAGGCAGGCTGTGGCCTATCCAGGGGGTACACAAGGCCTGCTGGGCTCCTGGACAAAGAACAGGCTCCCTCAGGCTCCCTGGTGTGTATGCCCCAAGTGCTGGGTCATGTCTACACATGCATTACTGCACATTAACTAATCAAACGTACATGTGATACCTGCACTTAGCCTAAGTTACTGTGTAGTAAGGGCGCATGCCTGTACTGTGCAGTAACTTAGGCTAAGGTGCATTAACGCATCTTGTGCAGTTGAACCCAATATGATAGAATTCTTAATCCAGAGATGGGGAAACCATAAGGTCAGGTGAACTAAGACACTGAATTTCACAAAGGTGGATTTCAACTGACTCAAGGAGATAGTAGGCATGGTGTCATGGGTGGACAGACTGAAGGATAATGGGTCCCAGGAGGGCTGGAAATTTCTCAAGTACAGTGCTGGAAGCTGAACAAGAAACTGTTCTGACATGATGGAAGTGCAAGAATAATGATAAGAGACCAACTTGGCTGCACAAGGAGCTTCTAGGAAAACAAAAGGAAACCATATAGGCAATGAAAAAATGAGCAGATCACCAAAGAAGTATACCAGGAAAGAGCAAGAGCTTGCAGGGACAAAATCAGGCATGCAGAGGTAAAAATTACCTTTACCTGGCAAAGGAAATTAAAGTCAAAAGGAAGAGGTTCTATAAATATGCTGATCAGAAATGAAAGACCAAAGAAGCTATCGATCCACTGTTAAATAGCCAGTGTGAGCTCTTAATAGAAGATGTAAAGAAGGAGGATCTGTTCAACAGCTTCTTTGCCTCAGTTTTAACAAATATTTAAGCTGCAGCAATACAGCTAATACGGATTACTTGGATAAGGAAGGGGACAAGCGGAGGGTTGAGATAACAGAAGGGACAGCCAGAGACTGGTCTGAATAAATTCAGATCAGCAAGTCCTGATGAACTTCATCCCAAGGTACTGAAGAAATGGGCAAAGAGATCTTGGAGCCTTTGGCAATGGTATTTGCCAAATCACTGGGGACAGGTGAGGTATCAGAGGACTAGAAAAGGGGCAATGTAGTGCCCCTCTTTAAAAAAAAGACAAAAAGGAAGACCCAGGTAACTACAGATTGGGTAGCCTTACTTTGGTATCTGGGAAGAAGCATATCCTAAGAAGGGCTTTTGAAACCATCTGAAGGAGCAGGCAGCATGGATTTATTAAGAGCAAATTGCATCAAACTTGATCTCAATTGACAAAAAGCTAGATGGGCAAATATAGGGAATGCAGTGGATATAGTATATCAGAACTTCAGTAATGCTTCTGTCAAAGACACAAGCATAACCTAATTAGACAAATATGGGCTAGATAAAATTACTATAGGGTGGCTAGACAATTAGTTCAGTAGCTGCAAGCAAGGGGTAATTATAAATGGGTCCAAGTCCAAATGGCAGGACTTTCAGCCATATGTTTACTTCCACGATACAATAGTCCCTGCCTGGGACTTTACTATCCACCATGAAGATTGACGAAAATATTACTTGTGTTCCAATTTCCTTAATTTTCTTTCCAAGAGCCCCATAGTCTCCTCTGATCTGCTCAGTGTCAGCCCTACTGGTATCACTGGGGAGCCTACAGGGATAAAAAGGAAAGGGTAGTGGTTTGAGGGATGGATAAGCTCTGGGAATCTTTCTGTGATGTCCTGAATAGGGTTCCAGGCAGGTGGCACACCTCCTGAAGTGACCTCTGGCACAATAAAAGAAAGGGTGAGAGCCAAGGGCTAGGCCCAAGCAAATGGACAGGAAGGATTTCATGAATACTGAAGAGAAGGTTTAATAAATGTTGAGGAGACTTACTGTAGAATTCTGTTTCACATTATGTGCCCACGTGGCAGCTGTCCAGACATGTAAGTGTCCTTTTTGATTCATAGGCACGGTTTGTGATTCTTTTACATGTGCAATGTGGATGCATAAATGTCTACAAAGCTACTGAGCAAGCATGGTGTGCTATGCACTGGCTGGGTAGGTGCATGGGCCTGGGTACCTGGGCAGACAGACTGGACATGTATAAATCACAAACGTCTATGCAGGAAAACCCCATGAAGGAAGACTCCTCCTGCCATATGTTCTAACCAGAACTGTTATTCCCAGTAGAGCACTGCACTGCTCTCTGGCCATTTTACCCAATGTATAATTAATGCTAAGTGCTGGGACTCAGCTTCAATGAAGGCTGCAGGGAACACTGAAGAATGCCTAACCTGTGATCTGGTGGTTAGGCACAGTAGTGGCAAGTCAGAGAGCTATAAGCTTTCATCCCCTCTGGGTAAGGAAGGCCTGGAACTTGGGTCCCGTGTTTCCTGTGTGACCACCCTAACTACTAGGCTATTACGGTTAAAACAGATGGGCTCTCCTTGTTTTTCAGATTTTACACTCGTGTACATGTAAATGTAGTCATATACCCACCACACAATGTGCATGCTCAGTAGCTGTGTGGACACTTCTGTGTCAACACTGTGCAGGTAATACAATAGTAAACTGTGCATAAGTATCAGTTGCTCCACAGTAGGGTGGACACAGTATCAGTTGTTCATATGCATGGTCTTACTTCCCAGGTAGACTAATACTTGTCCAATGAAAAACGGATAAAACTCGGGGTAAGAATGGGTACACAGGCAATATTGCAGAGCAGGTGACATGTAGTAAAACCCTGCCTCTTTTTATGTCATGATAGCCAGTTTGTATGCCCTTTCCCTTCGTAATCTGAAGTGTTAACCCTTTTACACTCCCAAGTAGTTCACCATAATATAAAAATGATCATTCGTCAGTGAGGTATGTTGTGCCACAAACTAGAATTGACATTAAGCTTTATGTATTGCTCATTCCAAATTTCAGTCATGAATTCTCAGGAGAAATACAAAATTACACATTCGACACTCAAAGAAGAGAGAGAGTATGGCACATTATAGCTTGAAACAGATTTTAAAGGTGTCAAAGTGCTTCATATTTCTCCTTTCAGGAAATGTAATCAAGGGTTGCTCACCAAGAAAAGTGGAACAGCCATGCCAGGCCTGCCCATAAGCGGGGGTGGATGCCAGTCTACAGCCATCCGACGCCGTTGCTCTTCCCAGTATAACTGCTCTTCCTCTACTTGCCACCAGTACATTTCCTCTTCATACCGCCTTCATGAAAAGAAGTAAGAAAACAGTAAGTTTGCATGAAACAAAGTTGTCACCAGTCTCAGTCATTTTCAAGGTGCCTAGGAAAAGTTACAGAAGTGTGGCTAAAGCAGATGACCCCAAAGCCTGTTTCTTAGTGTGCAGCTAGGGTAGCTGGGGGTTGCCCATGGGGCGAGGGGTTCCATTCCTCACCCCCCGCCCCCTTGAGCTCTGGCCATTGCAGCTCTTTTCCCTTCCCTCTCCCCAGCTGACAGCCTGGGGCAGGGCTGCGTTGGTAGCACCAGCCCAATCCTACCTCCCAGGTGAAAATATAACTCTGGAGGGAACACAAGTTCTCTAAGGTGCTCTGCTTTAGAGTGCCTTAATGTAATACCTGATCTGACCAGGGTTAATTTTTCATGTGATCAACCATTTTAAAAGCACTCTGCAGCCGTGCATGTGTGTTATGACACAGCTGTAGAGCACTTTCAGGGGCCAGATCACTCAATAAACATCACTTCTGTCTGTACCCTTATAGTGACCACCAAATTTATCCTGGAAGAGGTCAAAACTGGCATGTTTGGCAAAATGTGTAAAGTACCAAATATGTCCAGATGAACAAGTAGCAGCAGGCAACTGCCAATTCTTCTAGATCATGGTATATGCATGAGAGGTTACCCAGACCATCAATACATATGCCTAGGCAGAGGTCTGGGGGAGTGGAGGCTGCCTAGACCTTCCATCCCCCTTCATGCTATTGAGACAGAATCCAAAGGCCAGTCTGAGTGCAGACATTCAGTACCTTGATGACTGTAATTATGTACATGTCTAGGAACTGAACCTGAGTCTCCCATGTAGCAGATAAGGAGTCTACCACTGAACCAGAGGGGACTTCGTAGACAAACAAGTAATGGAAAAAGAACATAAGAAATGCAACACTGAGTCCAGCCACGACTTCATCTAGCCCAGTAACCTGTATTTCACAGTGGCAGAGTGTGGATACTGAGGGGAAACGTATATGCAGGGCCTACCCGGACTTGATGATCTGCTCAGGTCCCTTCTGACCCTACCTACTATGAAACTACACACACTGATCCTGCCTCTCTTTCCTCATAGCTTCCAGCATTCTGAGACTAGGGCCTAATTTCTAGATTTAACTCCTTACTATAATGTTTAATACCCACAAATTGACCTATTTAGCACACATTTGTCCAGTCCTCTTTTAAACCTAGTTAAATGATTAGCTTCTACAACATCAATGAGTTCCACAAATCAGTTACACAATGCGTGAGAAGGAGCTTCCTTTTGTCTGTTTTAAACTTGCTTCCTAATAAATTTATTGTACATCACCTAATGTTAGTATCGTGACAGACAGTAGATGGTAAATCCTTAATTACTTTTTCTGCACCATTCATGATTTTATAGACTTCTACTATATCCCTCCCCTCAGTCATCTTTTGTATAAGATGAAAAGTCCTAGTTTTTTAGGATTTTGTCACATGGAAAACTCTCCATAACCCTGATCATCCTCACTGCCCTTCTCTGTACGTTTTGTAGTTCTACTATATGCTTTTGGAGTTGAGAGGACCAGAACTGCAAGACGTATTCAAGGTCTGTGGAATAATGACATTTTCTGTTTTATTTTCAATTTTCTTAATAATTACTAACATTTTATCTGCATTTTTGGCTGCCGCTGAACATTGAGCTGATGTTTTCAGAGCACTATGCACAATAATCCCACTCCTCTTTCTTATATAGTAACAATTAATGTAGAGCCCATCATTCTGGCTGAAAGAACTGGCTGAGCTTATAGCAGGGCTACTGGCAAAGCTGTTTGAAGAGTCGTGGAACTCAGGAGTAGTCCCGGAAGACTGGAAGAGGTCCAACATAGTACCTATCTTCGGTCCTGGGAAAAATTTTTGAAAAATTTGTTAAGGAGGGCATCAGTTACAAGCTGGTAACTGGTGAGGTATTAAGATGCAACCAGCATGGTTTTCTTGAGGGTAGATCATGCCTGACAAACCTGGTGTCCTTCTATGACCAGGTAACTTACCAGCTGGATGAGGGACGTGAGGCTAATGTCATTTACTCAGACTTCAGTAAAGCGTTGGATTCCATTTCCCATGAGATTCTCTCAACTAAATTGAAGGGTCTTGGGATGGTCCAGTCTACAGTGAGGTGTGTGGACAACTGGCTTAGAGGCTGATCCCAGAGAGTTGTAATCGATGGGATGGCCTCATCCTGGAGTGCCATCTCCAGTGGTGCCCCCCAGGGATCTGTGCTTGGACCTGTGGTCTTTAACATATTTATTAATGACTTGGATGGAGGGGGTGGAAAGCTCAGTGATTAAGTTTATGGATGATACTAAGCTGTGGGGAAATGTGGGCACATCAGAGGATGGGGAAAGGATCCAGGATGACCTGGACAGACTGGTTTTACGGGTGGAACAGAATCAGATGAGGTTTAAGAGGGAGAAGTGCAGGGCCCTCCATCCGGGTAGGAAGAACCTTCACTGTAACTACATGATGGGTGATGGTCTATTGGCTGGCACAGCATCTGAATGGAACCTGGGGGTCACAATCGACCCAAAGATGAACATGAGTCAACAGTGCAATGAGGCTGCCAACAGGGCAAATACGACTCTGGCGTGCATCAGCTGATGTGTTGCCAACAGATCCAGAGAGGTACTCCTCCCCCTCTATTAGGCATTGGTGAGGCCACAGCTGGAGTACTGTGTCCAGTTCTGGGCACCACACTTCAAGAAGGATGTGGATAAGCTCGAGAGGGTACAAAGAAAGGCCACCCATATATTTAGGGGCCTGAAGGATAGGCCCTATGAGGAGAGACTCCAGGAACTGGGCCTGTTCAGTCTGTGTAAGAGAAAACTAAGAGGTGACTTGATAGCTACCTACAAGTACATTAGGAGTAAGTATCAAGATCTAAGGGAGCGACTCTTCAGGAAGAAACCTGAAGGGAGGACAAGGACCAATGGGCACAAGCTAACAGAGGAAAAATTTAGGCTGGACGTAAGAAAAAACTTTTTTTCCATAAGAGTTACGAGAATCTGGAACACACTCCCAGCAGAGGTGGTCCAGTCACCATCCTTGGAGATGTTCAAGATGAGGCTGGACAAATGCCTTGTTGAGCTCATTTGAGCCCAATAACTTCCTGCATGGCAGGGGACTGGACTTGATGATCTTGCAGGAGGTCACTTCTGGTCCTTTGACTCTATGATACTCTGTATCCAAGTGCATCGTTCTGCACTTACTATAACTGAACTTCACCTGTCATTTTGCTGTCTATTCACTCAATTTTATGAGGTCCTTCTACAATTCTTTACGTTCAGCGTTTTTTTTTTAAACCACATTGAATAATTTGGTGTCATCCACAAACTTGGCTACATTGCTATCTACCTTCCTTTCCAAATCATTTATGGATATGTTAAACAGTACAAGCCCCAGCACACACATTTGGGGGGCCCAATGCTTGCCTCCCTCCCTCCACTGTGAGAAATGAACACTTATACTTTCTCTTTTTTTCCTGTTCTTTAGCTAATTGCTGATCCATGAACGGACCTTGCCTTTAAAGCCGTGAAAGCCCAATTTCATTAAGAACCTTTGATGAAGGACTTCAGCCAAAGCTTTTTGAAAGCCCAAATACAACATTTTAATCACCTCACCCCAATCCACATGCTTGTGGTTGTCCTCCAAGAACTCTACTAGATTGATGAGGCATGACCACCCTTCACAAAAGCCAAGGTAGTTCTACCCGGGGAAGTTCTGTTTACCTATGTGAAGGGCAATCCTATATTTATTCTAGTTTCTACTAATCTGCTAAGAAGAAAAGTCAGGCTCCCTAATTTTTAGTTTCCTCTATCCCTCCAG